ACAGGAAGGTTGAAATGGGGGGTAGAATAGGGGGAAGAGGGAATCATAGGTTAGAAGACAGATCAGGCAACAGTGTGATCTCTAGTGATCTAAAGGGATGACACCAACTGGCAAGCTAAGCAATAGTGGAGAGACCATCTCAAATGCCCATTCCTGATAATGAACTTCATGTTTATAGCCATCCTAGAACCTTCATCCAGTGACTGATGGAAGCAGAGGTAAACACCCTCAGTTAAACACTGAACTGAACCCAAGGAACCCAGTGACAGAGAGAGAGGAGAGATGAGCAAATTGGCAAAGAATGGGCTGGAAAACCAGCACAGACAGCTGATCTGAACAGGGGGAGAGCTCTTGGACCCCAGACCATAGCTGGGAGGCCAGCATGGGACTGATCCAGACCCCCTGAATGTGAGAGTTAGTGAGGAGGCTGGGCAACCTATGGGGCCCTGGGCAGTGGATCAGTGTCTATCTCTGGCATACAAACAGACTTCGTGTGTCCATAACACAAAGAGGGATGCTCTCTCAGCGTGGACTCTTAGGGGAGTGCCTGGACCCTGCCCTGAGTGAAATGATACACTCTAGATATCCCCTATGTGGAAGGAAGTGGCGATAGGGTGGGAGGCTGGGGGGATGGTGAGGGGTACAGGAGGAGGGGAGGGAGAGGGAACTAGGATTGACATGTGAAACAAGCTATTTAAAATTAAAAAAAAAGATAAAGCCTACAGGCCTTGTCACCACCGTCCACACTGTCCGGATGGCATCTTCCCTACTTTCCCCTTTCTCTTATTTCTCTGCCAGGCTGCTCCCTCTTAACTTTAGACCATGTTTTTCAGAAATTCACCTTACAGGCTCCTTACACCACAAACAAGTCAGGCGGTGGTAACACACTTTTAATCCCAGCACTCGGGAGGCAGAGGCAGGCAGGTGGCTCTTTTGAGTTCGAGGCCAGACTGCTCTACAGAGTAAGTTCCAGGATGACCAGGACTACAGAAGCCCTGTCTCAGCAACAAACCAAAAACAAATCTGCAAATTAAAAATGTGTTCCAAGGTAATGCAACTGGCACACACTTTCTCTTTATATCCCTGCTTTACTCCATTGTTACTGGAAACTGTTTATCTGCTAGCTATCCTTTCTTAACTAGAATGCAAACTGAGAGCAAGAACTATTCTGTCATCAGGCTCGAAGTGTTGCCTCGAGCAGGTGCTGCTTAGTGTGGCCCAGGGAGCTGCAGCACCTGCTTGTTAAGAGTTGCAGACTCTCAACCCACCCCAGACCTGTCAATCAGACCTGTATTTTAGTAAGATTCTCAGCTGAGTCATGGGCATTGTAGGTTGCCAGAAAGTGCTTTGAGAGACTGGCTCTCAAGTTTGGCTCTTCATTAGCACTGCCTATGGAGCATTTAAAATCCTGAGGTGCTAATGTAATTGACCTGGGCATCTGGAATCTGAAAAGGTTCCCAGGTGGATTCGGTAGGCAGCTGGAGTTGAGACCTGCTCTGAGTTCTAAGCTAAGCACAGTAGCTGCTAGCCACCTAAGCTTAATGAAAATGAAATAAAAAGTGTGTGAGTTGCTCTAGCCACATTTTAAGTCCTCAGTAGCCAAACACAGGTGATAGTTAATTGGACAGTTGAGAATATGTTTGTCATGTCAGAAAACCCCTGGAAAGTGTTGCTGAAGAGGGATGAAGCGGAGAGACTGCTTATGTATTTGTGTAAGTAGATGTGGGTGGAGGTCAGGAGACCTACCCCGCAGGGGTTTTCACCTTCTACCATGTGGATTAAAGGAATTGAACTCAGGTGGTCAGGGTTGGTGGTAAACGCTTCTACCCACTGAGTTGTCTCTCTTTCCCAGGACCGGTCACTGTGATTAAGGTGGGAGAGCATCGTAGGGATGTAAAGGGGAAGTTAGGCACACTTTGGCAGAACATAGATAACTTGGTTACTGACTTTTGCTAGGTTACACCAGCAGGTAACACCCAAGCTTTCTATCATACCTTGTGGGAGCCTGAGCCCAGCCTCTGGTCTTGAGTGTCTTCTACTGTGCATGCATGATCATTGGATCCTCAGTAATTGTGTACAGAGGTTTCTAATATCCTAACTACTAGGGTTTGGATGTAAAGTGTACCAGGCTTGTGTGCATGAAACTTGGTTCCCAGCTGGTGATGATGTTTTAGGAGGCTGTGGAATCTTTGGGACATAACTACCCAGCACAGGTTAGGCGGGGAAACACTCTGCTGCCTCTCCTGGGTCACGTCATTATACCCAATCAAAGCTGTCTGTCCCCTGGTCTGGCTTACTTTTGGTAATGTGAGTACAGCTGGTAGCATGAAGAAAGCAGCAGAATCAGGCTTCTAAGGTCAGGCTTCTAAGGGGGTAAGGTGGCTGCCTGCTTGACACTGAAGTAGCAGCTGCTGCAGCCTGAGGAAGGCCAGGGCAGGAAGGTGGTCACAGCAGAGACAGCCAAGAGGCAGAGGGCAGAACTGAGACAGAAAGACAATGCCTATTAGGATTCAGAGATGAGAAACAGCAGTCTCTGACTGCTAAAAGTTTGAGAGAGCTGCCTTCTTTAAGGCCATGGGTCTTAACCTTGGGCCAAGGACTATAACTGGCTCTGCTCACAAGAGCAGAGGAATCCCAACATCTGGAACAGTGGTTCTCAGCCTGTGGGTCACTCACGATCCCTTTTGGGGGGTGTTGAATAACCAACCTTTTCACAGGGGTCACCTAATATCATCAGAAAATAGATACTTATATTACAATTCGTAACAGTAGCAAAATTACAGTTATCAAGTAGCAACACAAATAATCTTATGGTTGGGGTCACCACAACATGAGTTGCTGTAGTAAAGGGTCTCAACATTAGGAAGGTTGAGAACCACTGACCGAGAGGCATGCCTAGAAACTACAATGCCTGTGGCCTACATAAGGACTATGACAATAGAAGGTACCCCAGGCTGATGTTTCTACCTGCTTACTACCAGTGCTCCACAGAGGGAAGCCAGTATTCCAAAACCCAGCATGGATCATCTTGCCTTGCTGAGCGGGCAGTGAGAGGACATTAGCAAGATCTCCAGGCCCACTGGATGTGTTGTGAATATTATTTTAACTATGTAAAGATGTGTTACATTTGTTATGCTGCAGAACATTATTTTATCTATGTAAAGGTGTGTACAGAGAAGCCTTTTCCTTGCCAGCTGCTTTGGTTTTTCCCCACAAGTCGCCTGGGCTCTGCTGTGTTGTAGTCCCCAAATAACACACAAGACGCTGTATTAATTATGAAACTGTTGGCCTTGTTTGTTTTATACTGGCTAGCTCTGACTTAAGTATTACCCCAAAATTGTTAATCTAAGTATTTCTCTTACCGGAGAAAAGGGTCCGAGCTTCTTACCCCTAAGGCAGCTACATGATGACTCTCTGTGTTTCTCTTTCCCAGAGTCCTCCTGGAGTCCTAGTCCCACCTATCTTGCTTCTCTATTGGCCAACAGTGCTTTATTGACATATACACAGGACTTCCCCATCAAAGGTGTGATTGCATTTGTTTATGTAAAGGTATGTTAAATTTGTTTCCGCCTTGCCTGCCTAAGGCATCTGATTGGTCTAATAAAAAGCTGAATGGCCAATAGCTAGGCAATAGAGTGATAGGCAAGGCTGGCAGAATAAGTAGTAGGAGGAATCTAGGTTCTTGAGAACAAGGGAGAAAGGGAGGGAGATGCCTGGGGCCAGCCAGCCAGATACAGAGGAAGCAAGAAAGTAGGAATTAAAGTATAAAAGGTAAAAGGCTCCAAGGCAAAATGTAGATGAAGAGAAGCAGGTTAAAGTAACTTATAAGAGCTAGTGGGATAAGCCCAAACTAAGGCCAAGAATTCTTAGTTTAAAATAAGTCTCTGCATCATGATTTGGGGGCTGGTGGTCCAAGAAAGTCTGTTAAATGGTTGCATTTCTTATCTAACATGAAAAAAACTCGACTATTACAGAGGCTTACTAATGTCACCTTTTGTAGTCCAAATCTAAACTTTCCATCCCATCACTATCATTTCATAAACACTCCATGCTAAAATAAAGGCAAATTTAAAGCTTCATGTAGGGGGAGAGGCCCATTTTCTTTTTTTTTTTTCCAGGATACTGGTGACAAATTCTCATGACCTGAGCTGCGAGTGTCTTCTGATGTAATCCCCAAGTATGTCACAGCCATCTAGGCAAAACTAAGCCGCTCTTCAGTGTTTCCATCTCTGAAGTTGCACAGTTCAGTAGGGTGCAAAATGCAAGGATTTTAGAGGTATGTTTATTTGTGTGAATGTGTACATACATGTGCAACAGTGCACATGCAGAGGTCAGAGGACAACTTGTAGGAGTCATGTAACATGTGGTTCTCAGGGCTTGAACTCAGGCCACTAGGCTTCGTGGCAAGCCATCTGACTGGATCCCTATTACTTAACCTTTTAAACAAAAATAAGCAATCTTTAATAGATTTTTCAAGTCCATACTGTTAATTATTAGCATCAGGCAATACTATAGTTGTGTGGTGATATCTTGGTTGTACTCTAACAAATAAAGCTTGCCTGAAGATCAAAGGGTGGAGCTAGCCACTATTTAACCATAGAGGTCTGGAGGTCTGGACAGGCCGACAGGAAGTGATATGACTGGGCAGAGAGAGGACTATAAGGTGGGAGGAGACAGGGGCTCTGTCTCTTTTCAGTCTGAGGGTTTCACAGAGGTATGAGCTCTAGTAGCTGACTGCTCTGCTCTGCTCTTTCAGCTTTTACCCCCTCAAATATCTGACTCCAGGTTTTTATTATCAAGATTAATTAGAACTCATGGCACACATTTGAACTAGAGCTAAGACTTCATTTTTCATTATGAACACATCACCATAACCACACTTTTTCTCAGCTTCACAGGTGATGTGAGGAGGGAGAGGTACTCACAGCTTTACTCTCATTTAGTAGAAATGGCTTAACTATTTAAGGAAGAGATTCAAAAGGAACTGTAGAGTCAGGATGTTTAGTTATGAGGCTGATGCCAGGTAAGTTTTTATTATATTAAAAAAAAACAACAGTGGAACTGGAAATAAAGTCATTCAAAGTGAATGAGACTTGAAAGGCCTACCATTCCTCAGTGGCAGGATTTGGGCCCCTTGCCCAAGCCAGGCCTAACCCAGCCGAGATGCTGGAAAGCAGAGCACACAGTTGTGCCCATCAAGGCAAGGAGGGCAATAGACCCCACGGATCCTCGAGACCGCTTGCTAGGATCTGAAAAACAAGAGAGCAGAAGTAACCAGAAGCCATTCTGTAAGCTCAACCACCTGTTCTTGGGAGGTTGACTAACTCTAGGGCCATCAGTATGCTAGAAACTATGTGCAAAGTAATTCTACAATAGCATTGCCTAGACCTTGGAGAACTCTGTAAGTAAAGAAGTTTTGTCTTAGGACCATGAGGAGTGTTTCCTTCCAGAACAAAGCACAGCCTTTTCCAGACTACTCACTTATTCCAGCGGTGGTCAGGTTCTGCCGTTAAACCCCCTAGGGGTTATGGTTCGCAGCTCAGTATCTCTGTGCCTGTTTCCTCATCTATGAGACAGGCTGTTGGCTGTACACAGAGCTGCTGCAAGGCTGCACAGCATGCATAAAGCTCTCAGAAGAGCAACTGGCACACAGAAAATTCTCAGGGGTTTGTTATTATTCTAAGGGCAGGAAGGGCAAAGAGAACAGCCCTTTCATCTTAATTATTAAGCCACTTCCTCATTTAACATTTTATCATATTTGATACACACGGGTATTTTGTCTGCATGTGTGTCTGTGTGCCACTTGCACGGATTCCCTGGAACTGGTGTTGCAGACTGTTGTCAGCCACCATGTGGGTGCTGGGAATCAAACCTGGGTCCTGAAAACAAGCAGTTAGTCCTCTTTACAGTTGAGTCACCTCTCCAGCCTTATCCCCATCCCTTTTAATGCTCTGCTAAGAGTAACAGTAACTTCAAATTTAAAATTGGTTTGGATTAGGAGCACTTGCTGCTCTTGCTGAGGACCTGTCATTAGCACCCATGGCAGGTGGCTCACAACCACCTGTGACTCCAGCTCCAGGGGCTCTAACGTGCTCTCTGCCCTCTGTGGGCACGTGCATGTGGGTACATAATCCATAAAAGATAAATGTAAAATGTGCTTTCTTGGTAGATGTCAACATGTACTTACCTCCTGTGTAGTAGCCATAAGCGTAGAGAACTCGCCCAACAATCCAGGCCAGGCCCAGGCCAGAAGCTATGCGCTAAGATAAAATAACAGTTCAGTGTTTGCACTGAGGCAATAGAGCTTGATTAATGCCTAGAGCTGACTACGTTTGTGTTGGCCAACAGTAATTTCATGCATTTGGTAATGTATTTCCCACTAAGAAAAGAATGGGGTTACTTGTTTAGATCAGGAAAAGTCAAGACCGGTGGTTGTCTATAATTGCATGCTCAACTGAGTGGTGAGAACTAGCTTTCCTGATGGGTGGACGTTCTTGCTCTGGGCAACTGGGGGAACTGGTGCTGGAGCTCAGGTCAAGGGCAGGCAGACCTCAGGGTTCCAGGGTGAGTCAGGAGAGGAAACACTGATGTCTGAAATGGGATGCTGGGGCTGCACTGAATCCAGTGACAACACCTGCTGGAAGCGGCTCAATGCCTTAGGGGTGGGGCTCAACAAGAAGAGGTGAGAGAATGTGTAGTGAACCCCGAGTATGTGTACTCTGCGAGGAAAAAGCCTCCCCATTGCCAACACCCTTGACAGGAGAGAGTAAACCTGTGTATGATGAGAAAAACCTTTCCTTTGTTTCATGACCAGGAACCCATCTGGTCAGAAAGAGGAAGAGGGAAGAGGTTGGGGTAGGGTGAGCAGGTGACCCTCCCGCGTCCCTTTCCACTTTGGTGGTGCTGTCAGTGGTGTTGATTGCTATGGCAGGATTTGGTTTGTTTGAGTTGATTTTGGATAAGAAGTATCAGCAGGATGAAGAACTGTAGACAAAGCCCCAGTTGCTCTCTGTGTAAGCTTGGTCTCTGGAAGGCCATTCTTCACTACAGTGCTGAGCAATTACTGGCAAGTTTGGAACAATGGTTTGGTGCTGTCTTCTGTTGTACAGATGCTAGACAGTCCCGTTCACTGCCGTGACCTCAGGTAATGAGCAAACGTCTCTTGTAGCTGTCATGACTCCAGGGCCTTCTCAGTGCCAGCTGCTGCAGACAACCACAGCTCTCCTTCCTCACCTCTTGTGAGCTTTGCTTAACTATCGCCTTCTTAGTAAGAGCCCTGACCACACTATTCAAAACCCTCTCACCTCCCTTTGTTTGCTACTGAGACCTTAACACCTGTTAACATACCAAATAATTGACTTAGGATGTTCTCTATGACACCAATTAAAGGGAGGGTCTATGAATCTAGGTGTCTGCCTATCTTGTTCACTGCTATAATCTTGGGTGTGGGTAGATGTTTGTTTTTGTACAGATGAATGAATGAGGAGAGTAAAAACAGTCCCTGTGGACATGAACCTTTTAGAATTAGATAGACCTAGCATCAAAGTTCCATTCTTCTATGGCTTAACGGATCCCATGAAAGTTAAACAGTATCTATGAGGCTTTCCCCCACTCTGCAAAGATTAAGCGGAATGCTGCCTACTTTCACACATTTTGTAGCAAAATCATTAAAGAAATACATGGTGCCTTGACAGAGGCTCCTATCAATGTTCATTTGTAGCTCAGTGAACTGTATCTAAATGGACAAACAGCCCCAGGAGAAACTTACCGGGTGGTAGACACCTCCCACGGTTAGGAAAAATAGGAAGGGAGGATACATTTCCAACCTGGAATGCACAGAAAGTAACTTTTAAAAAAGTGTCTGTTGGATGGATGTCTATACAGAACTGAGGGACTTTGTATTCATGCTGGCAGGTTGGAAAGCTTGAGAGTACAAACACACTGGAGAAGACTGGCTGCCAGTACCCACCCACTTTTGCTCTGGATAGGAGTGAGTCAAAGAACTTCACATCCTACAAACTCACAGGAAGGCCTTGAATTGGCGTAGGTCTCCTAATGGAAGCATACTCTGAAACGTCCTACAAGCTCATGTGTTTCAACACCTTATCCCATGAGGTGGTACCACTTCTAGAGGCTGTGGGACATTTCTAGACAGAGGTCTGACTGGCAGGTGTAGGCCACTGAGGGTGGGCTTTGAGGGTTATAGCCCAGTGGAGGACTCTCCGTCCTGTGTGCCTTTGTGACCAGTGCAAGTCTACTCCATCACCAATAACAGTCTTGCCATTAAACCTTCCATCATGGACTATGTTTTTCTTTTTTAAATTATGAACCTACTCAGTTCTCTGGTGTGTGTGTGTGTGTGTGTGTGTGTTTGCTCACAATGAAAAGTAACGACTATAATCAGTTAGATGGGACCTGCAGACACTGCAGAGGGTCACATTAAAGACATTGTGATGTCTGCTGTTAATTGTCAACAGAATCTAGAATCACCCGGGAGATGGCCCATGGAAGATTATTGTGTTAACTGAGCTGGGAAGAATTGCTCACTGTGGGCAGCACCATTCTCTGGCTGGAACCAGAACTGTGTAAGCAGAGAAAGGAGCTAAGCAACAGCAGGGCCTTCATCACTCTCTGCTTATTTTTATTTTTCCCAAGACAGGGTTTCTCTTGTAGCGTGGCTGACCTGAAACTTACTCTGTAGACCAGGCTGGCCTCAAACTCAGAGGTCTGCCTGACTCTGCCTCCCAAGTGCTGGTGTTAAAGGGTCAGGAGTTTTTCCATTCTAAACAACCTTAGTTGGTCTTAGTATTCAATCTGCTCACACAGTAATTTTTAAAAAAGTGTTTATTTGTGCGTGAGAATGTGTATGTACCAAAGCCATGGCTCACATATGTAAGCTAGGTTTGGTTCTCTCCTTCCACCATGTGGGGACATTCTGGTGAGCAAATTTAGATGATCAGGTTTGGCAAAGAAGTGCCTTACTTTTCTGAGCTTCTGCACCCGCCCCAATAATGTTTCAATCATACTTTTAATGAGGTACCCATGATTGCCATGCTATCCCTCAGCAAATTCAGAGACTCGGGGCTGAAGCGATGGACATCTTTGCCGCCTGGCAGTGTGACACTCACGTGTTCTGGTGGGCTCGCTGGATGCAGTTGAAGATATGCCCGTTCTCAGGATCTGTGCTGTACATGGCCGGGTACTGTTAAAGCAAAGGCCAAGCAGAGTGTAAGTGTTGAGAAGCAACTAGCACTGAAACTGAGACATTGCAGAGCATCTTCCACTGTACTTGTGATGCACGAGCACTTGGCATCTGCTTCAGTCTCTTCGTAGTGACAAGGTTTTCAGTTCTCAGAAGCAGGTTTGGCGTTTTCAGCCGTCAGAGCTAGTAAGAACCTGTGACTATATACTGTGGTCGCAAAAGAGATGGGAGTGGCTTCTGCCTAGTCAGTGTTTCTCATTGATGCCATGAAGCAGTGGTGGACTGCAGATGCAATACTGAGACACCACAGAGAAATGGCTGGTTCCCAAGAGTCATCACACACCACATCCCTTTAAGGTTCCCCTTAATAGGGAACAGATAATTGAGTGTGTGAGACTGCTATTGCAAGTGCCCATTAGAATAAAAAGAGAGGCAGCCAGATATGAATCCTCGGAAAGAACCTCCACAAGGGAGTCTAATAACAAGATGCTAAATGCAAACAGACATCTAATTGCTCACCAGGGATGGCTTTAGAACCTCCCCTTCTAGTTCAGCCAGAACTAAAGGAAGTATTTAACAGACTTCCTTTCTACAACTACCAGCTAAATCCAGGCTAAGCCTAGCATCTCTTCGTGACTTGGGAAACAGGAAAATCAACTTAGGATATTGCTTGTGAAGTGGCAAACTAGGAAACAATACTGCTAACTTCATCCTTTTTAGAAAATAACACTGCCACTAGCAATTAACTCCAGGTAAAAATGGACTTTTGATCCCATTAGGCCTGGTCTTTCTACAGAGGGGCCAAAGTCCAGCAAGATGTAAACTATATTCCAGCAGTCCTAGTGTTTCCTGCTTCTCACGAACAGAATTCTGACGGGCACTATCCAGAAACAACTCAGCTCTCCTTCCAGGACTGGAAACTGGCCTTTGGATAAGCCTGTGCCTCAGGAAGTCCACACATGCACCGGGGCCTGCAACCCCCGCTTACCTCCACCTTGTACTTCTTGCGGGCTTTGTTCACGTTGAGGGCTAGGTGGAGCACCATGACAAAGCTGGCAGCGCCAGTGAGTAGCACGAACCCGTATTCCTTAGAGAGGACAGTCATCGTGGCTCTGCAGAAGAAAGGACACCACAGTGGGAAACTAACCCAACACCATGGGCATCGTGTGGTACAAGGCCTTATCACCAGCAGATGCATACAGACCAAAAAGAGGACCTGAGTGTGGACCCTTGCATCCCCTAACCCTGTGCTGGGGCGTGTCCCTGGAGCTCAGTGTGAGTGACAGAACATGCCTGAAAAATAAGGCACCGCGTGAGAGAGGACGAATACCCTAAATCAACCCCTGGTCTCTATCTGAGCACGTGTGGGTGAGAACATCTGTACACACACGTGCACACGCGTATATATCACACGGACGCCACAAATGTATACACCATACATGCCTATGACACATACGTGCTCTACCTAATTAAAAAAAAAAGGTGTTTGTAAGAGGCCATCAGAAATGCCACTGTGCATTAGATGACAGAATTAAAGATTACTCCAGTAGAGAGAATAGCCTCAGAAAAGTACAAAATCATACAGGTCCTTTCTTTCTCCCTTCTCTCGCCTTCCTTTCCCCCTCTCTATCTTCTCCTTTCAGTCCTCACAACAGATTCTACTCCACCTTTACTATTTACTTTCCTGTGTATACACACAGTGAGAACATGGCGGCTAGAGAATGCCTTGCGGGAGTCTGTCCTCTCCTACCACCATGTGGGCCCTGGGGGTTCAACTCCAGGCATCAGCTGGCACCTTTACCTGCTGAGCCAGCTCATGGGCTCCTTAATTTCAGGTTTTTTTCAAGACAGGGTTTCTCTGTATTGTTTTGCAGGCTGTCCTGGAACTAGCTCTGTAGACCAGGCTGGCCTCAAACTCACAGAGATCCGCCTGCCTCTGGGTCCCGAGTGCTGGCATTAAAGGTTAATTTCAGTTGTTGGGTCTGTGTAGCTCAAGTTGGCCTGGTACTCAAGATATAACCCACAGTGGCCTCAAACTCACAGCAATCCTCCTGCTTCAGCCTCCTAAGTATTGAGATTACAGGTGTGTGCTACTATAACTAGCTATATATTCTCTTGGACTCAACAGCCATTTACAAATTTTACCTGTAGTATTGGAGTCATTGTAGTATGCCACTAAAATTTGCATTTGAGAGTATTTAACATGACATCCTTTAACAAAGTGCTGTCTACAACAATGGCTTCTGGAGAGCACTACTGTGAGGTCAGGACCTTGTGACCACTCTTCCACCTTGATCCTGGCCGCATGCTGGCACAATTTTAGAAGCCAGAATGGAGAAACTATAGGGAAAAGGGACCAGTCAAAGAAACACACCCTGAGCAGAGCCAAAGAAACACACTTTGGCCTTGCAACCAGAACCAAAGAAATGTACCCTGACCCTGAAACTAGTGCCAAACAAATACTCTTTGTCCCTGGAATCAGAGTCAGTGAAAGAAATGCACCCTGGCCCTAAAATTGGAGCCAAAAGGCTAAAAAAGACCAGAGAAAGAAACACACTTTGGCCCTGAAACCAGAGCCAAATCTGACCCTAATCCTGTACAGAAAACTAACCAATCCTTGAACAGGAGCTCTAGCCAATTTGAGCTCAGCATTGAAATCAGACCAATCCCTACCCTGGAAAAACTTCTCCTGCCCCCAAGAATCCCTATATAAACCCTGTGTATGTTCAGCTTGGCTGATCCAGCTGCTTCCTTCCAATGAATCCTTCTCCCAGCTTTGGGTGATGATCTTCTTTTGTGGCAGTGGAGCAGAGACGACCCTGGGCAGAGCAGAGCAAGCAGGGCTGTAACACTTTTGCCTGGGAAACCTTCCCCTGGCAGAGCGGAGTTGTTGCACTCCACTTTCCACTCCTGGGAGCAGAGCTGAAGTGTAGCAACTTTGCCAGGGAAACCTCCTCCTGCCTGAGCAAAACTGGGCAAACATCCCCAGCTAGAAGACCCTCTCCTGCTGGCAGATACACTGGGGAAGCCTTTCCCCGAGGCAGGGCTGTAAGCTGCTGCGCTTACTGAGGCCTGTGGTAGTCCTTGGCTCCTGAGCTCCAGGATACATTTCCATCTGAGCTGTGTAACACTCAGTATTCTGTGACTCCCAAGTGCCAGAATACCTGTCCCATTTGGTCCATCCAAAATGCTTGCAGAAACCCTACTTGGTATTTTGGCATCAAAGCATGGCTCCTGAGTTAATGGTGTGGACAAGACAGTCTGGCAGGTTCCTGAGAACCCAGGCTGCCCATAAAATCACCACTTCAACACAAGCCCCTCAAGAGTTGTGATGTCTGAAACTTATTTTGAAATGCATAAGAAGCTGGCAACACAAGATGAACAAATGTTATCTATAGAGGGGGTGGTAGCTATGTGGTTTCAAGATACAAGTCTGAATTTTTCTGACCACGCAGGAGCTGTTATTATAAACTGCTTTGAGAAAAAGCTAATCCTGGCTCTTCTTCCAGGGTTCAGCATTAAAACTCTTGTTTCAAAGGACAGACTTAGTCTGGGCATCAGAGAGAACAATGCTTAGCAGGTGGAAGATGCCATAAGTATCTCATGGCCCACTGGGCTGCCCGTTAACCTCTGTTAGCTTTGAACATTAGATGGAAGGGGTCAGAGCATGTAGGCAGAAAGGGCAAATGCAACATTAGAATATGTTGAAGTAACTCATTAGCACATGCAAGGCTGCCCAAGCCAGGAGCTCCTGTGTGATCTCTTCAGCTTAAAAATGACCATCTCACTGGGTTGTGGTGGCACATGCCTGTAATCCCAACACTCAGGAAACAAAGGCAGGTGGATCTCTATGAGTTCAAGGTTAGCCTGGTCTACAAAGCAAGTTCTAGGACAGCCAGGGCTGTTACACAGAGAAATCCTGTTTTGAGAAAAAAAAAAAAAACAAAGTGCCCATCTCTTGCTCATTGTGAAAGCACACAGTGGTAAGCAAATGCTTAAAAGGATGAGGCAGGAGGATCGTAAGTTCAAGGCTAATCTGTGCTATACCTTTAAGGGCCGGGGAGAAGTTTTAGTTGGTAAGATGCTTGCTGAGCAACCATGGGGACCTGAGTCCAATTCCTAGCATCCATGTAAAAAGGCAAAGTGGCACAGTCTTGGGATCCTACTGCTGTGGAGACATGGAGATTCCTGGAGCATGTTAGACAGCCAGTGTAGCCTGACTGCTGAGCGCTGGGTGTCAGTGAGAGACCCTGTCTCAAAAATCAAGATGGCTTCCTCCTGAGGAACAAGAGCCACCCAAGTCGTCTTATGGCTTCCACATGCATGTGTATGCAAACACACCCACCCTGCACATCTACACACCCACCAAAATAAGCAAAGCCTGTCTCTGATGAATGTTTAGCTTTTATCTCCCCAGCAGGCAGCTCAGGGTGTTGCCCTGTTGCAGAATGTTTCTAGTCATCTTTAAAAAGTACATGATTCCAGTACCCCTACCATCAGAGGAACACCTGGAACTTAAGTGCTGCACCAGACTGCAAAGCAGCAAGGATTATGGGTGGAATTCAAATCAGATTCATCTGGCTCCAATGGCCTCTTTCAGTCCTGCTTGCAAATTGAGAGCTGAACAATGTCTTTTCATTGGTCAGTGGAGCCACAATGTCCTTTTCAATATGGAACTTGGGGGTGAGCAAGTTGTTTGTATCTTTAAAAAGTAAGTTTCTCTGGACTAGAGAGGTGGCTCAGCAGTTGACAGCATTGGATGTTATTCCAGGTTTGATTCCCAGTATCCACAGGGTGGTTCATAACCGTATATAACTCCAGTCCCAGGAAATCCAATGGCTACTTCTGTCTAGCATCCAAGGGCACTGCATTCATGCACCTCACAGACATACATGCAGACAAAACACTCATGCACATAAAAATAAATTTAAGGTTCTCCTATCTTAGAAAGGAAACATTTGAGCTTCAAGCCCCTCAGACCAGTCTCCTCCCCTGTCACAGCACACAGAAATTTTCACTAGCTTCCCCTCCTATGATCTTTACCCTGTCCTGCCCATTTGTCCTTCATAGGGGTCAGACTGTCTCCATGACTCAGTATAAGGTGCCTCTGGGTCAGCAGCCCCAGCTACCCAGCTTCAGAGAATGAGGGGGCCTGGAATACTCTCCAAGCTTCTCCTTCCTTCTCAAGTTTTAAAAGTTAACACAAGTTAGAAGCTATGATAATAATTGTATAGCAAAAATACAGTGTGAATTCTGAACAACTTCTTGAAAAATAAAAGCGACTGAGTCTACTTGACATGCTTGGAGTTAAACCACTGGGCCAAACAGGCACTGAGAATGAAGTTGCCTCTAAGGCTGGCAGCGCTGCCTTTGTAGCACCGTGAAAGAAGCATAGCCACTTTAGCTCGGTTTGCAAGTCCAGCAGCTCAAGCGTACAAGGGCAGATCTAGGACCAGGTCAGGTTTTAGACTTCAGATTTCAAATTATCAGAATGGGCTTAGTCACTGATCCCTGTTTGCCTGATTTATCTAAGAGCAGCCAGGTGGCAAGACAGTGCCTTTTGGGCAGATGTCTACCACAGGTAAGGACCATTCCCAACACAACTGTTCTGTAATCTATAACTAGAAATTGACATGGCCACTAGGCTCCTCCTTCAGAACAGAAACGTAGTCTTCTTGCAGGCACACTTGGTGAGAGTCACTCTCTTCACTTCATGAACCTGGGTATGAACCAAGTATGAACCAAGCAAGAGCCAGGGGTCAAGAGGTGCTGGTGACACCTAGGACACAGGACTTGGATGATTCAAGGTTGGATCTGACCTCAAAGCCTCTTTCCTGAACTCTAGTTTTCATGGTTCCAGAAAATACTATCTAAGTTGCCAAGGGCAGGAAGTAATTAAACAGTCCTATCCTTTGAACCACAACAATCAGCATGGTGAGATATACATAAAGGTGTAGTCAGTGTCACTCCCAGCGTGGTGGCAAACTGGACTTAAGGCCCATTCAATAGGAGGAAATTATGCCTGGTACTGGAAACCTAGCCAACTATCCAGGCTAATGAGATCATCTTGGAAAATAATCCACTACTGACATTTTGCTAGACCAACATAATT